CAGCTCTGGGGACAGCAGCGCGGGGACGCCCTTCAGCGCCACCATGGTTGCGGGGTTGCGGGTCGGCGGGACAGGGGCGGGGCGGGGGCGGGGCCTGGGCTTGAATGCTGAGACCGGGAAGCGCCCGGGGCAAGTTTTGGAGCCAAAGCCAAGGTTCCCAGGTGCTTGGCGGTACTCCGGTTCCTGCGTGTGTCCCTAGTGTCCGTCCCCGATCCCACCTCGAGCTCTCAGGCGGGGATCCAGTCACCGCCCACAGCGGTCTCCACCGCAGAGGGTCTCCGCCTTTCTGCCCAGTCGTAGTAACCCTCCTGGCCTCAGCCACAGGCAACCTGGTCCTTGATGCCGCTGGCAGATAGAGGAGGCAGGGAAGTTGACATCTCCAAGAACTGAAAAGCAGTGATGTGTGTCGAACTGGGCGGACTGGTGCTTTCACGAGTGGGGAGGACACTCGCGGACCTGTCTTGGAGGGGACCCAAGAGGGCAGGCAAGCCCAGTCACCAAGCTAGTTGTGGTTTTGTCAGGGCACTAGGGTTCTTCACTTGATCTTCCGTGTCAGCCTGCTGGGGACCTTCCCTGCCCGGTCAGCAATGCCCTGACTGCTTATTCCCTCCAGGTGCCTGCTCGCTTCAAGACTAGACCTTCCTCGAATTTCCCCTTCAAGGGCCCCAAGGCTGAGCTTCAGGACTGGGAGGGTGGGAAATGGATCCAGTGCTCCAGTCACCACCCTCCTCATTCCTCTTAGCAGAGGGAGCCCTCTTCTGTTCCTGTTATTGCCTCCCTCCAGGCCTGGAATCTGGGATGATCCTGAGTTAATCCCTTCAGAGCCACAGGACCACCAGCCCCTCTGCTTGCCCTGCTCAGAATGGCACAGAGAGATGCCCGTCTCTCCAAAGACAGGCGCTGAGGCTGAGACTGTTTTCTTCTCTTGAATCCAGTTTGTAACTGCCTCCACAAATGGAATATTCTGGAAGAGACTCTGGATGGCTTCTAAGGTTAGGTCACAAAAGGCAGTTCAGCTTCTCCTGATGTTCTCTTTTCAACACTTGCACATTAGAACCCAGGCCTGTATTGGCAAGAAGCCCAGGGCACATGGAGGGTCTTGTCTATGACCCCAGATGACGGCCAGCATTGACCTCCAGACCACTGAGTGGTCTGGAAAATGATTCAGCCTCAGCCTTAAAGCCTTCCAGCTAAGCCCCAAACCAGTGGGCTGAGACAAGCCAACCCACTGCATCCTGAATTTCTGACCCACAGAAACTGTGAGGAAGGATTATTGATGACTGTGCTGTGAAGTCACTAAGTTTAGTTTTTTTATGCAGCTATAGCTGACTAAAACATTGGCCTTTGGCCTTTAGTCCTGTGTTTGCTCTCTTCATTCCCTGTCTCTAGCTCTCAGACCAGAGGAAAGAAAACAGTGAGTACCTGTGTGCAGTGTGCAGGTAAACTGGCCACATCCCTGACATAAGGTCCTAGAGCCCCTCCAGAGAAGTGTTGGGCCACCCAGCCCAGCACCCAGCAGCATTCCGAACGTAAGGTTCTGGACCAGCCACATGGGGCATAACAGAAACCAGGGAGTTGCCCTATGAAGGGGTTGGCACTATGGCTGGATAACTGTCTGTGGGACCTGTGACATGAGGTCACTTCGTGATTGGGGCCATCCAGAGTGACTGACTCCACTCAGGGTGAAGGGTGATCCTAAGCAGTTTATACTCCAACCTGTAAGTGAAGTCATTCTTTATGTCCCCAAAGCTTCATCTTTTTAGTATAAATAAGAGAAAACCAATTTTATAGAGATAGGCAGTCCAGTTTCCTCTGAAGCTCTCTTTTCAGCACTCGCACATTAGGACCCAGGCCTGTATTGGCAAGAAGTCAATCTGGACACAATCTGGACTACCTACCTACAATGAGCTGTAGGATCAGGCAGAGGGAATACCTGTAAATGAGCTGGGGGGCAGGTGGGTTCCCCCAGGGAGAGGATGCTTTGAGCTCCTGCTCCTAGGGCAGAACAGGTATTGTCTACTTTGCCCTTGTTGTGCAGTTAAGTAGTAACCACACTAGTCTCTGTGGCATGGGCTGTATATCAGAATCATGTGGCAAACCCAGGACGCTGTCATGTCAATGTGCTGTCCTGGTCAAGCCCTCCACTCCCTGCACTTAGGGAGAGCTCTGTCCTGGTTTGTAGCTAGCAGCAGTCAAGTTTTCTGATGGGTAGGGCCCCTCCACAGAGCAACATGGAATGATGGGGAGGGAGTGGGAGCTCCTGGCCCAGGCCCCTCCCATATGTGCCAGCATTGGTGCCTGACTGTTGAGATGCAGATTTTTAAGCCTCACCTCAACAGGTCTGAGGCTGTGGAACTCTTGATCTGAGGTAACGGTGGTCCCCATTACAACTATGATGACCTTCCAGGACTGTAGTCACTCTCCCACTGATACTTGCTTAGGAACTGAGTTTAAAAAGGAGGTTTTAGCAGTGTGAGCTGAACTGGAAAGGAAAATAAAGAGCCGACATTTGGTGATGAAGATTGTTTCCTTTAACTAGCACTTGGTGTCATGATTTGCTTGGTTTGTCTCTTGAGGATTCATGTGCTGGAAGCTTGGTCTTCAAGGTCATGGTGTCAGTAGGTGGTGGGATCTTTATTTTATTTTTTTATTATTCATACATTAAATAGCTATGTGTCATTTAGATTGTGGAGAGACTTTACCCAGCATGATGTACACCTCAGTCCAGCCCAGGTGAGACTATTATACACATCCTCGTCAACAGATAATAAACCTTATCTGTGTCCAAATGTCCTACCTCTCTACTCCCCCCCAAATTTCCTTTCCTATGCTCTTCCCCTCCCACACTCTCTTTCCACTTTGTCTCTAGTGCCCATTACAATTTTTAATATTTTTATGTTACCCGGTCTTTCAGTCTCTACCATAGAGTGTGGACAGTTGCTATATGTTGTGGAGACATACAATGCCTCTCTCTTTTTTTTTCTTTTTTTTGAGAAGTTTTTGCTATAGGGCGCATGCGCTCACCAGAAAGACAGAGAGAGACAGAGAGACAGAAAGTGAGAAATCACCCCCCAGGGGAGATGGCCACGCTGCAATCCCTTCTCCTTCATTCTCCTCTTGGGATCTTGGGCACGCATGCACACGTGCCCCGCGTGAGTTTAAGTCACCGGGTCCAGGACTCGAACCATGGTCAACTATATGAGAGTCCAGTGACATAGCCATCACAGCTAATTGCTAGTCCCTACAATGCCTCTCTTTTTATAGTTTGACTAGTCTGACTTGCTTCACTCAGCAACAAATCTTCCATATTCGTCCACTTTCTATCAAATTCCAGGGCCTTGCTTCCTTCTTTTCTTTTCTTCTTTTGGAGAGGCATTTTTTTTTTTTTTTTCTTATTGGGCCTGTGTGATTGCCAGAAAGACAGAGAGAGACTAAGAGATAGAAAGCGAGAAATCACCCTCCAGAGGGGATGGTCACGCCACAATCCCTTCTCCTCCATTCTCCTCTGGGGATCTTGGGCACGCACGCACACGCACCCAGCATGAGTTTAAGCCACCAGGTCCAGGACTCGAAACCGCGGTCGACTACATGGGAGTCCAGTGACATAGCCATTACGCTAACTGCTGGTCCCAAGGGTCTTGCTTCCTTTTGCGGATGGCGTTGAGAGCAGAGAGAGCACCATGAAGGCCTCAGGCACACCCCAAGAGTACAAGGTGGTGGGGTGCTGCCTGCCCACTCCCAAGTGCAACATGCCTCCCCTCTACAGCATGCATCTTCCTCCCAAACCACGTGGTCGCCAAGTCCTGTTTCTGGTACTTCGTGCCTCACTGAAGAAGATGAAGTCCTCCGGGGAGATCGTCTACTGTGGGCAGGTGTTCAAGAAGTCTCCACTGTGGGTGAAGAACTTCGGCATCTGGTTGCGCTACGACTCCCGCAGTGGCACACACATGTGCTGCGAGTACCATGACCTCACCACGGCCGGCGCCATCACCTAGTGCTAACGACATGGGTGCCCGGCACTGCGCCCGCGCCCACTCCATCCAGATCATAAAGGTGGAGGAGATTGCGCCCAGTAGGTGCCGCTGGCCGGCAGTCAAGCAGTTCCACAACTCCAAGATCAAGTTCCCGCTGCCCCACCGCGTCCTGCAGCGCCAGCACAAGCCTCGTTTCACCACGAAGAGGCCCAACACCTTCTTCTAGATCCAGGGCCCCCAGGGCGGCCCAAATAAACTCAGACCAGCCAGTGCGCGCCCGTCTGCCTTCTTTACACGCCTGCCGGCTCAAGAGGCATAACTGGGCAGGAGGCGTCACAGTGTAAACAGGCTCGTCCTCTGCTGGAGTGGAGTGAGGCCCCAGGAGTCCTCCCACTCCTGCCCAGGTGCCTTTCTGCCTGCTCCGCAGACCCTGTCCCTCCCCCAGATCATAGCAGTTTGCAGCCTATTGGGTGACAGCAGACCAGAGCTGTACTGTGAGTCATGGGGCCTGGATCTTGTCACACTCCAGCCTCAGCTCTCCATTAACTTTTTCTTTGTATTTATGGTAAGAGTTTATGCACATGGGCCAGCAGGTGGCATGGGGGTTAAGGCGCTGGATCCCACTGTGGGATCCAGTTCAAGTTATGGGCCCAGCAGTCTGGAAATCACGCCATGTGCATGTGTGTGTGTGCCAGACATCCCAAGGAGAATGGAAAGGGGCTTGCAATATGGCTGTTACCCACACTGGTGAAGGGTTCTTGCTTTACCTCTGAGGCAACCTATAGCAGAAACTTAAAGAAGGTCACAGGACCAGCAGATGGTGTGATGGTTAAGGGCTGTGGACTCCCACATGGCGGACTGTGGTTTGAGTCCTGGACCTGGCAACTTGTTTTATCTTTCTTTCTCGCTCTGTCCCTCTCTGATCAAATTAAAATAAATAAAGTTAAGTTAAAAAAAAATTCTAGGGCCTTTTTTTTTTTTATTAGATTTTTGCTATAGGGTGCATGTGCTCGCCTGATAGAGACAGAAAGCGAGAAATCACACCCCAGGGTGTATGGCCACGCTGCAATCCCTTCTCCATTCTCATCCTTGGATCTTGGGCACCCACGTGCACAAGCCTGGCGTGAGTTTAAGCCACCGGGTCCGGGACTTGAACCGTGGTCGACTACGTGGGAGTCCGGCAACATAGCCATTACGCTAACTGCTGGTCCCCATTATTTGTTTTTTAAATCTTCCATTCTGACTGAGGTTAGGTGGTATCTCATTGCAGTTTTGATCTGCATCTCCCTTACAATGAGGGATGTTGAACATTTTTTCATATGCTTTTTGGCTGTTCGTATGCCTTCCTTAGAGAGTTGTTTATTCAGCTCATTTTCCCATCTTTTAATTGGGTTAATCATTTTCTTCCAGGTAAGCTGCTTGAGTTCCCTGTGTATTCTGGTTATCAGTCCCTTATCAGAGGCACAGTTAACAAAAATTCTCTCCCATTCCAAGGGTTGTTGATTCACACTAATTACAAGTGTCCTTTGTTGTGCAGAAACTCCTTAATCTGATGTAATCCCACCTGTCTGTTTGGGGGATTATTGCCTGTGCTTTGGGGGTCTTGCTTAAGAAGTCTTTGCCTGGCATTATGCACCATCCTCATGAATAAACTCCTGGAAATGGATTAATTCCCTTGAGATCTGGTTATAAAAGATGGCTACCTGCAGGTTTCTCTCTCTGTATGTGTCCATTTTCATCTCTGCTTCCATTAATAGCCACATGTTGGCCCTATACTCTTGGACTTTCTAGCCATGAGAATTATGAGCCAAATAAACCTCTATACTTTCAAAGTCACCCAGGCTCAGACATTTCTGTTTAGAAATACGATAATGGACTAAGACAGTGGGTCACCCAGTTTCCCTAAGCCTTGTTAGAAGCCTGATACTGCACAGTGATCAAAAGGACAGGGGTAGATCTCTGGCGTCTAGAGCCACCAGAAGAACCTTGGTAGGACGATGATTCTTCTGCTAGTTTGTGCTTTAGCTCTCTCCAAACCTCATACAGAAAATACACCGAACTTGACACCTAGTGTGTATGTTTTTGATTAGGCTCTCTGTGCATTAGGAACTACTGTATGCTGTGAAGATGGCAGATTCCAGGGCCTCCTTGTTTGGTCCAGCTCTGGGAAGATGCATTTTTAGCAAATTCCAAAAAGATTCACATGCAAGCAGCCCTACATTAGTCTTGGAGAGTGCCACAGTCTCACACTGACAAACTGGTTATAAAATTAAGAAATGCTGGAGGAGACCCTGCCCACCCTACTGCTAATAAACAGCATGTCCTACAACCACACTCTCACAGGTGCAGCTCTGTATGCAACAGGCCCACTTCCAGAAATCCTAGCTGTGCTCCACCGAACTGCAAGGATTAGTGTTAGTGGTCACTATAGTGGTCCACGGTTGTTCGGACAGTGATCAACTGGGATGCAGTCAAGTATCCTGTATCAAGGGAATAAGTAAATGATGACATGTCCCTAGTATACAATGTAAGAACCACTGAAGAGAATGCTAGAGGAACATTATTCAGCAATAAAAATAAATGAAACTTGGGGACCAGCAGGTGGCATGGTGAAGGTGCTGGGAAAAAAAAAAAAAATGAAACTCAGACACATGGTACAATGTGGAGAAACCTTGAGAACATTATGTGTCTAGGCTTGGGCTGTTGGAACAGAATACCATAGACTGGGTGGGTTATAAACAACAAATATTTATTCCTCAGTTATGAAGGTTGGAAGTCCCAGATCAAGGTGTTGGCAGATGTGGTGTTTGGTGAGAGCTTGCATCCGGGCGATGGACAGCACTTTCTTGCTATGTCCTCACAGGGAAAGAGGTGAAAAAGCTCCCTTTGGGCTTTTACAAGGGCACTAATCCTACTCAGGAGGGTTCTACTCTCATAACCTAATTACCTCCCAAAGGCCCCATCTCCTAATACCATCACTGTGGGGACTGTGATTTAAGCATAGGAATTTGGGGAAACACATTCAGACCACAACATCATATCAAGTGAAATAAGCAGACATAAAAGGCCAATACTGTATGATTCCACTTATTTGAGGCCCCTAGTTAAGTTCATAGAGACAGAGTAGAAAGATGATTGCCAGAGATTGGGGCAGAGGGAATAAGGACATTTTTTTTTTCCTTAATAATTCTTTTTTTAAAAATACTTTTTTACTTATTTATTTAATTCCATTTGTTATTATTATTCTTTTTTTTCAATTTGACCAGACAGAGACAGAGAGAGAGAGAAAGGGAGAGTGAGAAAGCAAACTGTCAGGTCCGGGACTCAAACCATGGACATCCATGTGGGAATCCAGCACTTTTAACCACTTGCTGACCCAGGAAGTTGTTGTTGAATGGGGACAAAGTTTTAGTTCAGGAAGATGAAAAATTTCTGGAGATGTGCGGGGTGATGGTTGCACAATGATGTAAAGGTGCTTAATGCCACTGGACTACACACTGAAAAAGGGCTAAAATGTCCAGTTTTATGTTATGTGCAGGCTAACACAGTAGATGATACTAGTGAAATAAGGAGCCTGCATGACAGAAATAGGAGAAAAATCAGTGTGTTGTTGTGTGAAAAAGGACTTTGCAGAAGTGTTTGTAGAATATCATTTTTATAAAAAGAAAACTGGACTACCTACCTGTTTATATGTGCATGAGTATGTGTGTGCATGTGTGCTTGAGCACACAGAAAAATCTCTAGAAAGCTGTAAACCTAACTGTTACAGTGGTTACTCTGTGAATATGAATATTTTATGGACTTCTGTTTTGTTTGAATGTTATAGTTTATAATGAAAAACAAAAAATGTTTAAAATAAAAAACCTGATCTGATGGAACAGTCAATCTCTAGAAGCAGTGAAAGAAAGGCACAATGTAATCTGAAGCAGCAATTTTTTTTTTATCAGTAGAGCACCTGTTTAAAGTGAGTACGCAGAAGCACTTCCCTTCTAGCTATATTCACTCAGCTATAAATGACACAACCAAGCAGGTGCCTGCTTTCCATAGAAACCTAGCAATTTAAACACGCTGAAGCTCAACAAAAAGTTTGATTTCAAGTATGTTCCAATCAGAATGTGAACACCCTCTGGATGCATACTGTCTTAATGGCTGGGTAAAGACAGCCAACTGTGCCATGAATGAGCTCTAATCTCAGCCATACAGCCCTGCGGCCCAGCAGCAGTGGAGAGAAACTATGTGTCACCCACATCACCCTTTAAAAGAGAATGATTCGTCACTTCTAAAACTCACAAACTGTATTTTTCATCTTAAAGTAGAGGTTTAAGGTCGAGGCAGTCAGTTTTCACTGGTCTTTGAAGTTGGCCTTTCTCTTCTCCACAAATGCACTCATCCCTTCTTTTCTGTCATCCTGGTAGAAAAAGGGAGAAAAGCAGAGGTGGACATTCACGTTTCCCTGAGCCCAAAGGCTTGTCAATGCCGACCCGTGTCTCCAAGGTCTTCCCACTTTGGCTCTCGTCTCCCTTGCTCTCTGAGTCACAGGAGGGTCTAGGGGTGGGGGTGGGGAGATTCTGCAGCGAGAACACCTGCAGCCTGGGAATGACTGGATTCCTGGCAAATCAGGGCTGGGCCTCAGAATGGGGGTTTTTATATATCCTTTTCCTCCTGCATGACAGTCATTCAGGAACAACAATATCTGTATCATACTCTTATCTAAGAGAACCTCGGATGCACATACTTGCGTCATTCACCAAGTCATCACTTGGACTTAGTAGTGATTTTTTCAGGCACTATCCTCAGAGTGATAGAGCAGGACTCAGCTCTGTATCTACACCTCCTCCTCTGCTTGTGTGCACATAAGCAGATGTGTGCAAATACACGCACACATAGGCACCCACAGAACTTGGCTTCTTTAAAGGACAAAACTACCTTTAATATTCCTTTTATAAAATATCTTTCTGACAATAAAAAGATGAATTATTATAGAAATTAGAAGAAAAATTTAGTAGTGGTAGAAATTCTATAAAATAGCACTCCAATGTTATTCATATTTTAATATAATACATTTGAACCACATTCCAATAATTGGAATGAGCTAGGAAAAGCATGGGTGATGTAAATTGCATTCAAAATAAAGGTGCTGCTTTAAGGGTGCAGTTCACAGGACCTTCTGTGACAGGAGATGACCCTGCACAGTTTTCCACACTTTTGAGCTTCTACACACTGTTCTATATTGTTAAAATCAAGACCCACGGAGAGGACAAATCTGATCTAGTTGGATGGGAAGTTAACAGTTCTGACCAAGAATAAATGCTAAAATCTAAAAGAAATTCCCAGACACTTACACAACTGGAATATGCTTGATTTTCCCATTGAATTGTTACTTACAGTGGCAAAGGTTGAATAAAAGAGTTTTTTCTCCAACTTATTTCCTTCTGTTAACGTCATTTCAAAAGCTGAAAAAGAAACCCCTAAAGTTATTACCTGAGATGCTAAATGTGAGAATGCAAAACTTTCCTTGTGCAGTGACAGTAACATTCCTCACTGACCCACACAGGCACGACTGAAACGAAGCCTGGGAATCCTAGCCCTGTACACGCTTCCCTGTCTGACTTAGTCGGCCTTCCCTCTCAAATGCTCCACTAAGTGAATAAGCTGTGACAACTGAGTGAACAAACAGCTCCCTCAGGGCCTCCCAAATGTCATGTGATGGTGGCTCAGGGCGCCCAAGGGAGAAGCATGAGGAACTGGAGGAAAGGCAAAACAGCCAACTGTGCAATTATAAGATCGAAAGTAGTCAGTGAAACTGGAAGTATAGAAAAATAATTAAGGATGGGGACCAGCAGTTGCCATAATGGCTATGTTTTTGGACTCCAATGTAGTCAACTGCGGTTTAAGTCCTGAACCTGGTGGCTTACATGCCTGCTGGGCACATGTATGCGCTTATGTGCCCAAGATCCTGAGAGGAGAATGGAGGAGAAAGGATTGTGACATGGCCATCCCCCCCGGGGGGTGATTTTTTGCTTTCTGTCTCTCTGACTCTCTCTGTCTTTCTGGCGAGTGCATAAGAGAAAAATAATTAAGGATGAAAACCAGGAAAGAGAACATGGAAGCCAGAACAGAGAATTTCCCAGCACACCGTTAGCTCTGGGCCCCATTCTGGGCCCTTTCTTTTCACTGAAAGCAAAGCAGGGCCAAGTTGAGTTTGTAGATAAAAGTAGATGCACTGCTGTTCAAACACGGAGGGTGAGGTGTCCTCTCAGTGTGGAATTGAGCAATAGCAGGTACTTTCAACTATGACCTTGTCAAAACACTTCAGGGAACTGCAGCTTTTGTTTCTGCAATGAGAGTTATATGTTTGTCACTATTATAAATGACTGGTTTCACAAAATGCTTGGCCAACTAAGGCCAAAAGTAAATCTTGAGGGATGGCCTTCCTCTCTTGAGATAAACAAACAGACTCAGGTTGAGTAACTTGCCTGCAGTTACACACCTCTCTCCAGGGTTCAGTCTGTGTAACAGGCAACACTGCACAAATAGTCTTATTCCAAATGCTGAGAATAAATTGGTACATTCAAATGCAAGCAGTTCTGAGAGGTGGAAAGATCAGATCTGCTTCACCAAGAGAGAGAACAAAGAATTCAGATCAAGGGACCAGCAGGTGGTATGGTTAAGGCTTTAGGGAACCTGGGGTCAACCATGGTTCGAGTGCTGGACCCTGCAGCTTGAATATCATGCCAGGTATGTGAGTATGCCTGCTCAAAATCTCAAGAGAATGGAGATGGGACTGTGCTATGGCCATCCTCCCTTGGGGGATGATTTCTCACTTACACCCTATGACTAAACAAACAAAAAACAAAAATGAAAAAAACCTTTAAAAAATCTAGATCAATAACAAATCCCAGTAGTCTTCACCATTAGGCTGATACTGATGACTGCACTGAACTTGTGCCCCTCAAACGTAGGCTGAAGGCTATTTGCAATAACCACCTGGGGTGAAGACACAGGTGTGGGCTGAGACGTGGAATGCCCCAGGACTTGGGAAGGAAACTGAGTTTTCCCATGAGCAAGAGACCTCAGTTTTACTCTAGGGACCAACACTCTCTTCTTCGCCTCTTCCCTCCATGCCCGCTGCTCTGAGGCTGTTCTCTGCTAGAGCCAGATGAGTTCTCCTGACATGGTAGAACGGAAGCTTAGACTATCAACAGAATCTGTTGAGTCACTGACTAGAAAGTTGAGTTCTACAAATAGGCAAAATCAAAATAATGAGGATCTTTTTTTTTTTTAAGAGGTTTTTGCCAAAGGGCATGTGTGCTTATTGGAGGGGGGGGGGAGGGAGAGGAAGAGAGAGAGAGAGAGAAAGAGAGAGACAGACAGACAGACAGATATAGTGAGAGGGAAAGTGAGAAATCACCCTCCAGGGGGGATGACCACACTGCAATCCCTTCTCCTCCATTTTCCTCCTGGATCCTGGGCATGCACACATATGCACCTGGTGTGATTTTCTTTTCTTTTCTTTTTAAGAATTATTTTACTTGGGACCAGCAGGTGGCGTGGTGGTTAAGGGGCTGGACACTCCCACATGACCGACGGCAGTTCGAGTACCGGACCTGGTGGCTTGCTTTATCACTTTCCCTCCCTCTCTCTCTCTCTCTCTCTCTCTCTCTGATCAAATTAAAATAAGTGAATGAATAAATAAAATTAAATAAATAATTTAAAAAAGAATTATTTTACTTATCTATCTATCTATCTATTTTGACCAGAGAGGGAAGAGTGAGAGAGAGGCAAAATGGGAAAGCAAGCTGGGACTCAAACTGTGGTCAGCTATGTGGGAGTCCAGCAAACCTCAACCACCATGCCATCTGTTGGCTCCACATTCAGTGTGATTTTCAAGCTACTGGGTCTGGGACCTGAACTGCAGTTGACCATGTGGGAGTCTAGCAACATAACCACATATGCCATCTGGCGACTTCAATAATGAGAATCTTCTGCTTTCTCCTCAGGATGGGTTAAGGTATAGTCACACACTCAGAGCCACAAAACTTAGATTCTCACAAAAATACTTCCATGCAATGCTGAAGACCTTCTCCACCTGCCCTGCCCAGCAGAATCTCTACCTGCATTCACTGATTCTTTGGCCATCGCGACTATAATTTTGGAATTGCTGGCAATTTTTTCTGCACACTGGATGGCTTCTTCAACCAATGTCTCAACAGGAAAAATCTTGCTTACAAGACCTACCTCTCTCTCTCTCTCTCTCTCTCTCTGATCAAATTAAAATAAGTGAATGAATAAATAAAATTAAATAAATAATTTAAAAAAGAATTATTTTACTTATCTATCTATCTATCTATTTTGACCAGAGAGGGAAGAGTGAGAGAGAGGCAAAATGGGAAAGCAAGCTGGGACTCAAACTGTGGTCAGCTATGTGGGAGTCCAGCAAACCTCAACCACCATGCCATCTGTTGGCTCCACATTCAGTGTGATTTTCAAGCTACTGGGTCTGGGACCTGAACTGCAGTTGACCATGTGGGAGTCTAGCAACATAACCACATATGCCATCTGGCGACTTCAATAATGAGAATCTTCTGCTTTCTCCTCAGGATGGGTTAAGGTATAGTCACACACTCAGAGCCACAAAACTTAGATTCTCACAAAAATACTTCCATGCAATGCTGAAGACCTTCTCCACCTGCCCTGCCCAGCAGAATCTCTACCTGCATTCACTGATTCTTTGGCCATCGCGACTATAATTTTGGAATTGCTGGCAATTTTTTCTGCACACTGGATGGCTTCTTCAACCAATGTCTCAACAGGAAAAATCTTGCTTACAAGACCTACAACACAAAAAGGTGGTGAATAACATACAGAAACAATACTAGTTCCATTTCTTTGAGGCCTAGAGACTATTAGTGACAGTGTTCTAGAATGCCCAGGTTTCTCAGAACACTAAAGTGGGACAGCTTCCATGTGGGAAGGTAGTACACTCTTCTCTAAGGAGTGCTGAGTCCCCTTGGCAGTTGTGGCCACTACACTCTCAGACTCACAAGCCAGCCTGTCTGTAGCACTACACTGCAGACACAGCAGGACTGGGGACCGTGCTCACCAATGGGGAGGGAGAGGGCTCACCTGTGAGGGTCTGGGAGACCCTCCATTCTTATTCTGGGCTTTAGGAATGAGATGGTTGTTATTCTTTTTTTCTTTAACCTGTACATATGCTTAGTTATTATTTTGTGTTTATATTTCAACTATATAAACAAAAGGCATCTAACTCTTTTTGTGTGTGTGTTTTCAGAATCCAAACCTTCTATGCTGGTTACCCACAGGGACACCCAGATGCAGCCCTCCAGTCTCCACTCAGCTCCCATGGGCAGCCTGTCCAGTACCTGCTTGTTTGGCCTCCTGCGCTGAGATCCGGTCGCCAGTGAGGACCATTTCCATGGCCAGCGACTTTCCCACAGCACGAGTCAGTCTCTGGGTGCCTCCTGCACCTATAGAGGCAGAGAGGATGCTGGTCACAGCTGATTCTGTGGTGAGTGAAGTCAAGAAGATACCACAGACAGGCAAACCAACAAGTTCTAAGGGGGTGAAGATGAGGCCTGAAGACAAGAGGCCCAGAGGGGTAGGCAGGCAAAACAGGTAGACAGTAGAGGGCAAAGAGAAGAATGCAGAAATCTCAGGGGTGGCTCCCTTCTAAGAACAAGCCCCAAACCTGGCACTTTTTCCAATAACCAGATCTCGGGATTGGGCTACCTAGTGTCTATGGCTCCCTTTCCAAACTTTTTCATCAACATTCTAGAAGCTTCCAGGTATCTCTAACTCCATGTGCTGGGTTCCCTGAAGGAGCACAGCTCTGCCATAGGGTCACGCCCTAAACAGATGGCAAAAGTTTGAAGCTCAGAGCCTTAGCACCTGCCTGGTCATACTCAGTGGGTGTCTCCCAAGTGTGGCCTATTCCTCCTCAGGGTCTGGGCTTCCTCCGTTCTCAGCACTCTCCAAGTATCTGCCCTCTCCTACCAGATCTACCAGGCCTACCAGGCAGACACCTGAGTGGTAGGAGGTGCTGCTCTTTGTTCAATAGCTCAGCACCTTCCAAAGGTGGAGGGAATGCAGAGCTCATTGAGGCCATGTCATCTGCACTGGCAGCAAAATGGGAGTGGATGGGGCCTGAGTCATGTCGAAGAGAGCTCTCAGCAGCAGCCCAGAGTCACTGTGTTTTTCCCTCTAAATTTTTAACCTGCAATGGATACAGGTAATGAGGTAGAAAGACCCACTGTGGTCATAAACCAGCATTACTGGAGTGTGGACAACCTTCCCTAACAGTGCTGAACATAGGACCTTGCTACAATACGAGAACCAGACAGGGCTAAAAGGCCTTCAGGGCCACTGTCTCCTATAGCCTGCTCTGGTCTCCATGTGTTGGTTTGCATGAGGAGCACCAAAGAGATATTGGGCTATCCACTCAAGGCTCATACCACAGCCCCTGCCTCAGTCAGACACCTGAGCAGTGGGCCTAAGACATAGGCAGATTTTAAGGAATTACTTGGATAATTTATGCTAGAAATATCATCATCCTTTACCTGGAATAGTTCCCAGTAAGATTTCTGGCTGTCCAAACTGGGCTTTCTCCCCAGCATAAATGATGTCGCACATCATAGCAAGCTCACAGCCCCCACCAAGCTGCAAAACAACATCTGGCATCAGGATGATTGTTTTACCAGGGAAATTCAGGTAGGAAATCATCTTAGTTATTTAAATTTTCTATTAAAATGAAACAAGAGTCCCAAGTTTTTGCAAACTTAGCACAAAGGTAAATGTTACAATAAATTATCTGGAAATAGTTGATGCTATTAACCAGGGGCTAGCAAACTTATTCCATAAAGGGCCAGAGGGAGGACCAGCAGATTGTGTTATGGTTACATTGCTGGACTCCCATGTAGTCTACCACAGTTGGAGCTTTGGACGCGGTGGCTTAAACTTACATTGGGTGCGTGTGTGTGCACGCTCATGATCCCAAAAGGAGAAGAAGGTATTGCAGCGTGGCCATCCCCCCAGGAGGGTAGTTTCTCACTTTCTGTCTGTCTTTCTGGCAAGCACATGTACCCTATAGCAAAAACCTCTCTTAAAAATAAATTAATAAGGGGGAAACAGCAGTTAGTGTAATAGCTATGTCGCTGGATTCCCACGTAGTTGACCGCGATTCGCGTCCAGGACCCGGTGGCTTAGTACTCACGCCGGGCACGTGTGCATATGTGCCCAAGATTCCGAGAGGAGAATGGAGGAGAAGGGATTGCGGTATGGCCATCCGCCCCCCCCCGGGGGGGTGATTTCTCGCTTTCTGTCTCTATGTCTCTCTCTGTCTGTCTGGCGAGTCCACGCGCCCTATAGTGAAAACTTCTCAAAATAAATAAATAAATAAATAAGGGACGAGCAGTTACCGTAATGGCTGTGTCACTGGACACCTATGTAGTCGACCGTGGTTGGAGCCCTGGGCACATGTGTGTGCGTGCCCAAGATCCTGAGAGGAGAATGGAGAAGGGATTGTGGTGTGGTCATCTCCTTGGGGGGGGGGGGGTGTTTTCTCGCTTTCTGTCTCTCTGTCTCTCTCTGTCTTTCTGGTGAGCACACGCGCCCTATAGTGAAAACCTCTCCAAAAAAAGAAAAAAATAATAAAATAAATAAGTTACTAAAATAAAATAAAGGGCCAGAGAGTAAACGCTTTTGGGTGTGAGGGTCCTATGGTTTCTGTTATGACTACTCAGCTCTGTTACTGTGGCTTAAAAGCAGCCACAGAGAATCCATACACAAATGGTGTGGCTTCCATAAAACTTATTCACTGACCACTGGCTTTCACAGGAGGGAGCTTCGTAAATAAACAACTTGTGAAATGATCCCATTACTTTGCTATAGGCTAAGACTAGTTCCAGCCAGCACTTCTGACTTACCCACATGACTCCAGAGATCCTGATAAATGAGACACAAAGCTTTTTTTTTCTCTTTTTCAAGTTTGCTATAGAGTGTTTGTGTTCACCAGAGAGAGAGGGAGAGAGAGAGGGGGAGAGAGTGAGACAGAGAATGTGAGAAAGCACCCCTCTGGGGGAATGACCATGCAACAATCCCTTCTTCATCTTTCTTGGGATTTTGGTATGCGCACACACGTATCCATGGTATTTTTCAAGTTGCTGGGTTCAGGACTTGAACCATGCTGTCAGCCATGTGATCCAGCCACCTTAATCACCACACCACCTGGCTAGTGTAAGACACAGAGTTTTCAATGGTAGCTACAGAAGCTGGTTTATGGGTGTGGGGCAGGTCAAAATGGCATTAAAATGATACAGAAAAGCCAAAGCCAACACCTATGTCCTTAACCTAGATGGAAGAGAAGCTGGCTGGGGAGAAGCCAGCAAGTGAACAATCACAAGGGAAAAAGAAAAGCAGATGTCGAAATATTTCTTTTCTTTACAATTCCCGACTCTTTGGCATCATTTGGGAGGAAAGGAACCTGGTGGCCTGGGAGCTATGCTTAAGGCCTTTTCAGAATAAAAGTCTCCATGATACCTCACACATACGAGGACAGTTCTTTCCACTATTCTGGGAGAAGATTCCTGCCACTGACACTCACAGCATAACCATTGACAGCAGCTATGACTGGCTTCTGGAAGCGGGAGAGCTGGTCCCAGTGGCTCAAGAACTTGCCAGAGTAACAATCTTGGAACGTCTGGTTCTGCATTTCCTTGATATCAGCCCCAGCTAGAAGAAACGGCAATGAGGTTTCATTTACCAGTCTTGTATTCCCTAAATCAACAAGAGCTATCAAGTGTAACATAAGCAGGGACTGGGGTTTGTGAGGAACAGCTGATGCAGAGCCTAGCAATGTTGGGACAATGGGTGGGCAAGGAAATTCATTGTGATATGCTTTTTGACAGGGGTAACTTAGAAGGGCCAAACAACAGGTAACAGATGCAAAGTGAACTCAAGAGGAAGGTAGGCTTATTCATTAGGCACTTAGGTCCTCAACACACACAAAAACTGATTATTAAGGACCTAGATCATTTTAAATAAGCTTATTTCACTGGTGGAACAAGAAAGAATGTTAAGCATACAGAGAGTAACTCATCTCACAAGTTCCCATGTGCATTTTCATTGCCCATTTAAGTAAATTCCTATGTGTACACCATCAGAGGTGTAAGTTGCTTTTTCTGTCTTGGTGTATCCCTCAATGCCACATGCTATAGGTGTCGTCTCTCCCACACCTGCCCAGATACAGAGGTACTGGGTTATCTGTCACCACTGCTGTCTACACGTACCTGCAAATGCCTTATCCCCACCAGTGAGGACAACGGCTCCCACAGCTGGGTCCTTCTCGAAGGTCTCCAGTACCTGGTTGAGCTCCTCTATCAGGCCACTGCAAAGTGCATTAAGTGCTTTGGGGCGATTCAGTTGGATCAAGCCCACATTGTTATTTTTCCCTCTTTTTTCTGCGATGATGTATTGAAAGTTAGCACCTACAGCAAGAAGGTAAAAAGGGATCTCCATTCACATAGGTATCAAACTAGGGAGCAGGAGAAGGGACGTGCCCTTGTCAGCAGACATGGAGTGACCGGAGAGGTCCTCTGAGGGATCCTTCCTCTAGTCCTCAGTGCCTTCAGCATGTAGCCACATGGGTATATGGTAGCCTTGGTACCCCTCTCTGTTTCCATACTGGTTTGAACATGTCCTTAAATTAAAGAAAATCTTAGCACAGATCACAGCCCACAGGTGCTTCTCTTTAAATGCCCTGGTTTGCTCCTCCCAGAACACAGCACTAGAGATAGACCAAGATTCTGCAGAAACAAGGGACAGGAACATTTGTTCTTTCAATGCATGCCACTCATGTAAGGGGCATTCGTCACAAACAGAACAAAGCTCTGAACTTGTGGTGGACAACCTGGTGGGAGGTAGGAAGAATCAAAAAACAGCTATCTTGGAGGGTTTGTGCTACGATCTGGAACAGCAGCCAGATCAGCTGAAGATTAGGAATGTTATCAGTAGACTTGGAGAGGAATAAGATGAACTTGAAAAGACAAAGGTGAGTATGTGTTGAGTGGCTGATTTCTTTTTTTAAAAGAGAATTATTTAATTTAATTTTATTAATTGTAATTACTTTTATTTTATTTTATTTTATTTTGAAGTTGACCAGAGAGAGAGACAGAGAGAAGGAAAGCGAGAAAGCAAGCTGCCAGGTCCAGGACTCAAACCATGGTCAGCCATGTGGGAATCCAGCTACCTTAACCACCATGTCACCTGCTGGCCCCAAGTGGCTGATTTCTTTAGCAGTAAAACAGGGATTCTAGTGCCTATCCTGTGGTTTACTGTGGAGTAATTAAAATATCACAAGGGGGGCCAGTAGTTGGCATGTTGGTTAAGGGTACTAGATTCCGCTTAAAACTCACGCTGGGCGCATGTGTGTGCATGCCCAAGATCCCGAGAGGAGAATGGAGAAGAAGGGATTGTGGCGTGACCATCCCCCCTGAGGCGTGATTTCTCGCTTTCTGTCTCTATGTCTCTGTCTGTCTGGCGAGTCCACGCGCCCTATAGTGAAAACTTCTCAAAATAAATAAATAAATAAATAAGGGACGAGCAGTTACCGTAATGGCTGTGTCACTGGACACCTATGTAGTCGACCGTGGTTGGAGCCCTGGGCACATGTGTGTGCGTGCCCAAGATCCTGAGAGGAGAATGGAGAAGGGATTGTGGTGTGGTCATCTCCTTGGGGTGGGGGGGGTGATTTCTCGCTTTCTGTCTCTCTGTCTCTCTCTGTCTTTCTGGTGAGCACACGCGCCCTATAGTGAAAACCTCTCCAAAAAAAGAAAAAAATAATAAAATAAATAAGTTACTAAAATAAAATAAAGGGCCAGAGAGTAAACGCTTTTGGGTGTGAGGGTCCTATGGTTTCTGTTATGACTACTCAGCTCTGTTACTGTGGCTTAAAAGCAGCCACAGAGAATCCATACACAAATGGTGTGGCTTCCATAAAACTTATTCACTGACCACTGGCTTTCACAGGAGGGAGCTTCGTAAATAAACAACTTGTGAAATGATCCCATTACTTTGCTATAGGCTAAGACTAGTTCCAGCCAGCACTTCTGACTTACCCACATGACTCCAGAGATCCTGATAAATGAGACACAAAGCTTTTTTTTTCTCTTTTTCAAGTTTGCTATAGAGTGTTTGTGTTCACCAGAGAGAGAGGGAGAGAGAGAGGGGGAGAGAGTGAGACAGAGAATGTGAGAAAGCACCCCTCTGGGGGAATGACCATGCAACAATCCCTTCTTCATCTTTCTTGGGATTTTGGTATGCGCACACACGTATCCATGGTATTTTTCAAGTTGCTGGGTTCAGGACTTGAACCATGCTGTCAGCCATGTGATCCAGCCACCTTAATCACCACACCACCTGGCTAGTGTAAGACACAGAGTTTTCAATGGTAGCTACAGAAGCTGGTTTATGGGTGTGGGGCAGGTCAAAATGGCATTAAAATGATACAGAAAAGCCAAAGCCAACACCTATGTCCTTAACCTAGATGGAAGAGAAGCTGGCTGGGGAGAAGCCAGCAAGTGAACAATCACAAGGGAAAAAGAAAAGCAGATGTCGAAATATTTCTTTTCTTTACAATTCCCGACTCTTTGGCATCATTTGGGAGGAAAGGAACCTGGTGGCCTGGGAGCTATGCTTAAGGCCTTTTCAGAATAAAAGTCTCCATGATACCTCACACATACGAGGACAGTTCTTTCCACTATTCTGGGAGAAGATTCCTGCCACTGACACTCACAGCATAACCATTGACAGCAGCTATGACTGGCTTCTGGAAGCGGGAGAGCTGGTCCCAGTGGCTCAAGAACTTGCCAGAGTAACAATCTTGGAACGTCTGGTTCTGCATTTCCTTGATATCAGCCCCAGCTAGAAGAAACGGCAATGAGGTTTCATTTACCAGTCTTGTATTCCCTAAATCAACAAGAGCTATCAAGTGTAACATAAGCAGGGACTGGGGTTTGTGAGGAACAGCTGATGCAGAGCCTAGCAATGTTGGGACAATGGGTGGGCAAGGAAATTCATTGTGATATGCTTTTTGACAGGGGTAACTTAGAAGGGCCAAACAACAGGTAACAGATGCAAAGTGAACTCAAGAGGAAGGTAGGCTTATTCATTAGGCACTTAGGTCCTCAACACACACAAAAACTGATTATTAAGGACCTAGATCATTTTAAATAAGCTTATTTCACTGGTGGAACAAGAAAGAATGTTAAGCATACAGAGAGTAACTCATCTCACAAGTTCCCATGTGCATTTTCATTGCCCATTTAAGTAAATTCCTATGTGTACACCATCAGAGGTGTAAGTTGCTTTTTCTGTCTTGGTGTATCCCTCAATGCCACATGCTATAGGTGTCGTCTCTCCCACACCTGCCCAGATACAGAGGTACTGGGTTATCTGTCACCACTGCTGTCTACACGTACCTGCAAATGCCTTATCCCCACCAGTGAGGACAACGGCTCCCACAGCTGGGTCCTTCTCGAAGGTCTCCAGTACCTGGTTGAGCTCCTCTATCAGGCCACTGCAAAGTGCATTAAGTGCTTTGGGGCGATTCAGTTGGATCAAGCCCACATTGTTATTTTTCCCTCTTTTTTCTGCGATGATGTATTGAAAGTTAGCACCTACAGCAAGAAGGTAAAAAGGGATCTCCATTCACATAGGTATCAAACTAGGGAGCAGGAGAAGGGACGTGCCCTTGTCAGCAGACATGGAGTGACCGGAGAGGTCCTCTGAGGGATCCTTCCTCTAGTCCTCAGTGCCTTCAGCATGTAGCCACATGGGTATATGGTAGCCTTGGTACCCCTCTCTGTTTCCATACTGGTTTGAACATGTCCTTAAATTAAAGAAAATCTTAGCACAGATCACAGCCCACAGGTGCTTCTCTTTAAATGCCCTGGTTTGCTCCTCCCAGAACACAGCACTAGAGATAGACCAAGATTCTGCAGAAACAAGGGACAGGAACATTTGTTCTTTCAATGCATGCCACTCATGTAAGGGGCATTCGTCACAAACAGAACAAAGCTCTGAACTTGTGGTGGACAACCTGGTGGGAGGTAGGAAGAATCAAAAAACAGCTATCTTGGAGGGTTTGTGCTACGATCTGGAACAGCAGCCAGATCAGCTGAAGATTAGGAATGTTATCAGTAGACTTGGAGAGGAATAAGATGAACTTGAAAAGACAAAGGTGAGTATGTGTTGAGTGGCTGATTTCTTTTTTTAAAAGAGAATTATTTAATTTAATTTTATTAATTGTAATTACTTTTATTTTATTTTATTTTATTTTGAAGTTGACCAGAGAGAGAGACAGAGAGAAGGAAAGCGAGAAAGCAAGCTGCCAGGTCCAGGACTCAAACCATGGTCAGCCATGTGGGAATCCAGCTACCTTAACCACCATGTCACCTGCTGGCCCCAAGTGGCTGATTTCTTTAGCAGTAAAACAGGGATTCTAGTGCCTATCCTGTGGTTTACTGTGGAGTAATTAAAATATCACAAGGGGGGCCAGTAGTTGGCATGTTGGTTAAGGGTACTAGATTCCCACATGGCCAGCCGCAGTTCTAGGGCTGGATCTAGCAGCTTGCTTTCTCTCTCTCTCTGTTCCTCTCTGGTCAAAATAAGAGGAAGGAAGGAAGAAAGGAAAGAAAGGTAAATAAAATAATTCTTAAAAAACCCAACCATATGGAAACTATTTAGCAGCAAGATACCTGCTCATTACAGTTAGGTGCAGAAGTGGACGGTTAAGGAGAACTTGGTGAACCGACAGGACTGTAGTTAATCGGATATACAGGGTGGGTGGGTCAAGGAGGAGGATGGAGCATGACCAAGAACTTCACAAGATACTGGAGTGGGAGATAGCTGCAGGTGAGCCAGAAAGAGGATCCCCGGGCTGGCTGCGGGAGGAAGACAAACGCGTGCCCCGACGTTTCTGGTCTGAAGGTCAGAGTCAGGGAGAAGCAGTGGGCATGGGGGGTCTGGACAAAGGGCACCGCAGGACGAAATTTCCATTCCCGGGCTGTCTTGCTCTACAGGAACTGCACCTCCTCTTAGAGCCATGCAAACACACGTGGAATTTCACAACCAAGCACCAAGCGCCAAGCTGCCCCACATCCCGGCACTCGGTCCAGGTTACCCGATTTGAGTAGTGGACAGCGACTTCGTGCCCTCCAGACACACTTCAGCGAGTTCCGATAGGGCCTCTTGCAGGGGCCGGGGTCAGGTTAAAAAAAAGGGGTTCCTGACCCCCGCTCGGCCAGCCAGCCCTCAGCCCCGCACTCACCCGAGGCGAAGGAACGCAGGGCGTAGCAGCGGGCCGCGGGGCGCAGCTGTATGCGGAGTAAAGGCAGCAAGGCGCGTAGGGCTGCCATGGCGCTCTCCCGACGACTTGCCCCGCCCCGCGGAGCTGCCCCCGTGCAGCGCCAATCAGCGCCTGCCCCGCCCACAGGCCGCCATCGCGAGACTAGGCAAGCTGGCATGGTCCGCGCTGGGCAGACGCCCAGGTGGGGCCGGGGGGAATACTGGGGCGGGGCAGAGGCAGAGGGGGGCTGGGCACCG